AATAGAGTAAAGATAATCCTCTATTTGTAGGCAATTAGGATATATAATGTGTCGTTGTTTACAAGAAGAATGATGGCCGTTAGATTCATCTCTACCGTCCAATTTGGATCATTTAAAACCCCTAGATTTTTTTCTATGTTATTTAATGTATCTTAAACTACCAATTAATGTTTAAACACTTTTGTCTGAAAAAAATAATTAACATAAATGTGAAATATCTGTACTTTCTTTTTTAAATAATATTTTCTACATACGTTTTTTTTTTGTCATCCGAAATTAATTAGGGCTCAAAAGAGCCATTACTTGAGAATGTTGTTTAAATATGTGATATGAAGCGGTTCTACACGAACTTTTCATGCCAGATTATCCGCTTTTACATTAGCATTACGAAAAATTAAAGATAAAGAGAAGGATGAGGATTCTTCCTTGTCTCTTTGGAATTCCTCCAAGTACACTGAAAACGCCGGCCATTCGGTTGGACAAGACACCATCTTCACCAGATCTGAACAGTCTGTAAGGAACGCTACCTCTTGATTATTTGCACCAATCATACACTTCATCGCCCAGAGAAAAGCCTCGAATTCTGTATGTAATGGAGACAGACCTCTACGGAGGTTGGCAGCTCCCATGGTTGGCGGTTCTCCGTTTGATGATGTACAGAACCATCCTGTACCGGAGAACTTATCACTTTCTTTCTACTATCCATCCACAAAGCAACGACATCCAGAAACATTCGAATCAAGTGAAGCATCTCCCACTCGAGAACGAGTTACTAATTCCACAATACCATTAGTTTCATGGTGAAGCTCGAGTTGGGCTATCTGCCGAAATTGTGCTTCTTTTTCTGCTAACTGTAATACCTTTAACGGATCTGAATCAATATTTTCAAAGATTTTTTCATTCATTGCTTTCCAAATATACCAGATAATCCATGGAAAGGATGAAAAATAAAATTCCGAAGGTATTTTCCAAAATAAGTGGTCTAACTTCGCAAAAATAGACTTCGTTGGAAAATTTCCCATTGTCGTAGGAATCTGGGAAAGTGCCCAAACCTGTCGTGCCGGGTGGCATTCAAAGAGTGTATGATTGATTGTTTCCACTGGTTCGCCACATCTGGCACAACTTGTGTCACAATCAATTCCTCTTTTCCGCAAATTTTCCGTAACTGGTAAACAACCCATTAAGATTTGCCACAAGAAATGACGTATCTTAGGTGGACACTGCACTTGCAAAGAATGTGCTTTTAACGATTTGATGTCGGGGCCAATCAAAGATAAATTGGTCTCCAACTTTTCTGACCTTGTGGTATGATATCTCGATTTGACTGTATATTTTCCAGATTTTGTAAAATGCCAACCCAGTGTATCTTCCTTAGTTGGCGCACCTACAAGTAGGACACTTATTAGGGCGACCTCTTCTGGATCAAAGATCTCCTCTAAGAGAGAAATATTCCAAAAATTCGACCGACTGTCTATAAGATTGTTAACTTTTAACAATGGGTCAACAAGTGAACCATTACTCTTTGCTCGTCTCGGGAATTGAGCTGGAATCCAGGGATCCTCCCAAACTGAGATGGATGTCCCCGATCTGACCCTTTTAATAAGTCATTTATTAACCAGAGATCAAGTTGAACAGATACTACGCCATCCATATGATGGCGAGTATAATTTTATATTTTCCAAAGGATTGGATTTCCGGAAATACTGCCCTTTAAACACCTTCGCGAAAAGAGAATTTGGAACCGTAGTCAACCGCCATAATTGTTTGGTTAATAGGGCAGAATTAAAATCGTCTACATTCCGAAAACCTAACCCTTCTTCCGATTTGCTATTGCACAACTTGTTCCAAGCCATCTGGTGCATACCTCTGGAATCCCCATTTGAACTCCACCAAAATTTAGCAACCGCTCTAGTAAGTTTAGAAGTGATTTTTTTGTAGTCTGAAGCACGACATAACATAACTTGGTAATGTTGCAGCTATCGATTTATTCATTACTTCTTTCCCACCTTTTGATAAAAATTTTGTCGACCATCCGTTAATTCTTGTTTCCAATCTATCTTTGACAAAAGAGAAAATTTTTGTTTTAGATCCACCCAAACTCTCCGGCAAACCGAGATAAGAGCCCATCCCACCGATATTAGTGATTCCTAAGGTAGATTTGATTTCATCCTTGATATCCTCATCTACCTTATGTCCAAACTAAATTGAGGATTTTAATAAATTAATCTGCTGTCCTGAGACCGCTTCATATTTCTTTAAAATCTCCAAAATTACCTCACACTGGTCCTTGTTTGCCTTACAAAAGAATAAACTATCATCCGCAAATAACTGATATGAAACCGATGGGCTTGTATTTGCTATCTTAATACATGTAATTAGTTTTTCCCTTTCTGCTTTCCGAATATTTGCAATTAGCACCTTTGTACAAAAGATGAATAAATAAGGAGATAGCGGGTCTCCTTGTCGTATTCCTCTTTCTGGTACAATTAGTCCTCTAGATTGCCCATTAAGGAGCACTCTATATTGAACTGTTGTAATACACCACATTATCCAGTTAATCTATTTATCGCAGAAACCCAATTTTCTTAGAACCTTCTCAACGAAAATCCATTCCACCCTATCATAAACTTTACTCATATCAGTTTTAATGGCCATGAATTTTCCTTTACATGACGGGTTAGTTCTCAATCCATGAAACATCTCTTGTGCAATAAGTGTATTATCCAAAATCAATCGTCATTCGACAAAAGCTGATTGTGTTTCCAAAATCAGTTTTGGTAAAACCGTTTAGAGTCTTTGACAAAGAATCTTCGATATAATTTTACAGCCCACATTACATATACTTATAGGCCGTAATTCTGTCATCCCTGTCGGCCTTTCCGTTTTTTGGAATCAGACAAATGTCAATCGTATATAACCGTTTGTCGAAAATTCCATCCACTAAAAAAGAATTAACCAGAACAAGAAATCTGATTTAATTGTAAGCCAAGCCTTTTGAAAAAATAAGGCTGTCATGCCATCGGGCCCTGGCAATTTTTCATGATTCATCATAAACAGATCTATTCTCACCTCACTCTCCGTAGCAGGTGCCGTTAGAAAATTATTAACCTAATCCGTAATCAGACTTTGTATTTCTTCCAAAGACTCCTCAAAAGCTTCGGGCTTAGTTGCAGTAAACAAATCCTTAAAATAAGAACCCGCTATATTTTGAATATCTTTATCCTCTGCAGATCAAATCCTGTTTTCATCATGCAGCCCCGTAATCTGATTCCTTGCCCGTCTCTGTTTTGTTAGAGCGTGAAAGTACTTTGAGTTATTATCTCCTAGTTGCATCTAAGAGCGCCTAAATGTTGATTAAAGTTAACACAAGTGTGGTTTCTTTTTTGATACCAATACAATTCCTCATCTCGATAAGCTTCTTACAACCGCAATGAATTCTGTAATCTCCTCCCATGATCTTCTTACAATTAGTCAATTTTTCCACAAATTTTCCTTCTCCTAATTCAGAATCCGAATTCCAACCATTTGAGATTGCCTCTAGTAATCCTTCCTTTCCAATCCATCTCTTATCAAACCTAAAACTTCGTTTCCCACGTGGTATCTTATCCAAAAGCGTAGCTACCACCGGTGAATGATCGGAAGCTACCATTGGTAAATACTCAACAAAAGAGTTGCAGAATAATTCAAGCCAATGTTCATTCGCTAAAGCTCTATCCAAACGACACTGTATTGGTTTTTTATCCCGCCAACCCCGCCAGGACAACCAATCTCCGATATATGGGAATTCCAATAAACCGTAATTTTGAATCATTGAATTAAAAGGGATAAACGAAGATGCATGTCTTAGAGTACCACCTCTTTTCTCATGATTTCCGGTTAACTCATTAAAATCACCACTGAAAAACCAGGGTGTATCCCTAGTCAACTCGATCCACGTTAACCGTTCCCAAACTTGATCTCTATTTTTCGGAACCGGGTCACCGTAAACAAAAGTAAGATGAATTGTTTTTCCTTTTACCGCAACTTTAACATGAATTAACCGATTACTTTCATAAACAATAGAAACATTAATATCAATATTATAATAAAGAGCTAAACAGCCATTACAACCGATAGGATCAACCGTTTTAAAAATTTTATAACCAAAATGACCGATAAATTTTTCCGTAAAAAAAGAAGATTGTTTTGTTTCTGAAAAAAATAAAAAATCTGGCCGGTGTTGTTTCCAAATGTTCCGAAGATAACCGATAGTTGCCTTATTCCCGAGCCCTTGACAGTTCCAACTCAAAACCTTCATTTATCAACTTTGTGTTTTGGTGGGTTGCGTCCACCAGTGAAGCCCTTCAGCGTGCCATGGTGCGTCAGGTTATGGCATACGTTCTCATGATCTATGAAATTTTACAACCTTGTCATCCAAATTTTTCAATTAAATAAAAGAGCTTGATCTTCTGTTTCAAAACTTTGAGGAAAGCAGAACACCACATCGTTCAACATATAAAGAGTTACATAAAATACAAAACATGTTGCCCACCGAAGCGCATCTCTAGAAAGACAAACCCCAAATACAACCGCAATCGAAGCAAACACCGATCAAACTCTTCCTTTACCCAAATCAAATCCACAACTTTTAGATACCGTGAAGCTAGATTAAACCCATTAATCAAACCCTCATACTTCCAATCGAGGAAATATAATCTAATGAAATCCAGGGATCCATGATTGATATCCCACCACCAGAAACAGAGCTGATTAACCACACACCAACCCCAGATCGAAACCAAAACCACCGGATTTACCTCACAAGACCACCAAAACAGAATTATAACCACCGTAAAAGCCGAGAAGGAGCCCTTACAAAGAGACATCTTAGATCCAAACCATTTCAACCTCTGTATCTCAAGGAACCGGCTAGTGGAAATCACTTTCTTCTCTTGGACCTCCTAGAGGGGAACCACCACCACTGTAATCAAACTCCGGGCAAACGAAGCATCACCGTCGAATCGGGTCAAGTCCTTACCAATCAACCCCCGAAGAAGAACTTTATCCTTATCGTTAGCCCATCTGGAGAAAACCACCACCACCACAAGATCTGACCGACCAAACGTTGCCGAGAACCGCAACGCATTGTTGGGTCAAAACCCTAGCGCCGCCGTCGCCATTGAAGAAGAGTTTACGCGTTTATCTCTTTTTCGTGTAATTCAATTAAAATTATAATTTTTCTTTATATTTTCTACGTACATATATGCATTTTATTCAAACTATCTTTAAAAAGTTCAATGGTTTAAACTATAAATCTCCAAAAGTATTAAGTATTACACCCTATGGTATACCGCGGGTCATATTCTAGTACATGTTAAATCTAAAAACACCAAAAATTCATATAATTTTAATACTAAATAACAAGATACAAAAATCTAACATTACTATATATAAGAATAAAATATTATATCGTAGTGTACTCGGAGTTAAATCCTAGTGAATGCTCAAAAGAGAGAGGAAATGAAGGGCAAACTGATATTGAAAGGTTCTTCCTTGCCATTAAGAAACCGATTCGTGAGAGTGTAGAAACGTTTTGTGAGGTGTATCCAGTAAACAAAAGCCCATTAAGACCCAAAATGAAATTTAGGTGTGGAAACGTTTTGCCAAATTAAATATTAGGATTCGCATGTAAACGCGTGTCAATCTAAAGCAAATGACCCGTGAGTCATCTCGACCTGACCCGACTTCACTTACGTTAGCTTAATTTTCAAAGCTTTCCTTCTTCTCCTTGAAAGTGGCAACAATTACCTTAGATTCGAGAAATTATGGGAGACGATTGGTTCCGTTTTGAGAAAACAGAGACGTCAAAGTTTTCGATTGGTTACAATTTCTGTTCACTGTGATTGTTTTTTCCATCTATGAGCCTTTTCGGCTAAAGAGAAAGGGAAAAGCTTACACTTCAAATAGTCTTCGGGCACTCCACGAGTTTGTGTAGTAATGTAGATTTCTTCGAAAAGATCGATGTGATCCATCAGGTGCTCCGTGCTTAAACCATGGAATTGGTTTTGCTTCATAAAACCAGTGATTTGAGATTGGATCTCATACTCATGTATTGGAGGATTAGGAACTCGTATGGCAGCTTGATCTTGCGGGTATTGATTTGGTGCATCATAATCGGCTATCATACGGTATGGAGCGGCTCGTCTCAAAGGAGGAACATAAGTGCCATGTCTTGCGGAAATATTAAAACGGTGTTGGGCATTAATGACATTAGCGGGCTGCGGAAGATTAACGTTGAGGTTGTCTCCCACGCCTTGACGATTAGCTTCCGGAGGAGCTTGTTGATCTCAGTCTCGGCCATCTTGTTGGTCGAGTCTTTCTTCGGCTTGTTCGTAGATGGAGTTGTCATCTTTATCGTGTAAGGGCTGTCCATGCTCGTCGAAAGCTGGAACTTGAGATTGCGGACCAAGGTCACCGTCGTGCGAGTTCCTTTGATCGGCCATGAGTTGATGTCTTTGAAGTCTTCGGATTTCGCGTTCTAGTTTTCCTATGTCTTGGTATAGTAGTACACTTGAGTTTTGATTCCTTGTCATGCACTGCAGATACCACTAATAGAAACTAAAAGGTAAAAAGAAGTTATCGAAGAAAAGTAACAAGTGAGAATTTAAACAAAAAAATCAAAGTATCTTAGAGTATAATTTCTTATTGAATTTAAAGGTAGCTTGAATCACTCCCCGGCAACGGCGCCAAAAATCTATGACTAAGGCGTTGGGCGTTCTAGGGTTTCTCAGGGTATCATGGTTCTCGACTAACTACGGTTTTGATCACCTAAGTTTCTATGTTTTTGTTCTAGTTCATAACTATGAAAGACGAATAAACGAGTTACCCTAGGTTATAGGATAAGCCGGTAAATCTCCCTAGACTCCGTTACTCAACTGACGTAGGAAACAACGCATAGTTCGACACATTAAGGATGAATTCGCTAAGTACTTTAAATCCTATTACTCAATTTACGCAGGCAACAACACGAAGAATTGGTAACACTATGTCCGAGATTATATTTACCCGATTAGAGATCCTAACCTCTTGGATCAGCGTTTGGTCATCAATCCAAACACATGCATTAAGTAAAAGATGTCACAAAAGAATCTAACTATGAAAAAAAATCAGATCTAATAACCTAATATGATTTGAACCATGAATCCCTCTTTGAATCACCCCATAAAACCCAACAAAGAAAACTACTCTCTCATGATGCAAAGAAACTACATAGAGATGTAGAAGAAAAGCATCATAAACGTATCAATAAAACAAAGAAGGTTCAAAGAAAACTTCTCTAGTTGTCATAGAAGATAACTTGTCTCCCCAAAAGTCTTGAAAGAAAGAGTAGAGGAGAAAGCAATGAAGAACAAGAGAGAGATCTTCAAGGGACGACGACTTCTATGGCTTGATCGACGAGGTGGAGCTCGGAGAGTTGAGAGTCTCATCGAGGTGGCTGCTGAGAAGGAGGCGAACAGAAGCTCTAAGAGGCTGTCGTGAAGAGGCCGTAGGGTTTCATCACTTTGTCTCGGTGTTTATAAGCTTCAATTAGGTCAAAGGATAAATCGTCATTTCCCGTGAATTAGGTTAAGTGTTGGCTCGAGTTTCTGGACCGGTTGCAAAGGTGGGTGGCCGTTGGTGAGTGAAGAGGGCAGCCCGGTCACGAGCTTCATGGCCGGTGGCGCTTGGGAGCTCCGGAACGGTCGTGATGCTTTTGGCCGGTCTGGACATATCTTCACTCTTCTGGGCATAACTTCCGAATGGATGAATTTTTTACCTTGATTCCACTTCGACGACAATCTTGATTCTTCTAGCTTTCCAAAGCCACCATAACCTTGAATGGATGTCATAGTTCTGAAGTACAGAAACTGTTTTGAAACGGGATTTGATCGACTTTTACTCTTTTTTGCTTGAAAATTCATAATTCTTCCTTGAAGCTTAAATACTTGGAAACAACCTTGAAGTATCAATATCTCTTGATTCTCCATGGAAAACCTAATAAAACATAGTAAAAGTGGGCTAAAATACGATGTTATCAAATAGTCATCTCTCACTCGCTTTCTTTGCTCACTCTTTTCTCACAATCAATCGTGTTTCACTTCTTCCATATCCCTTTTGAGAGGGCTCTGATACCACATCTTGAACTTAGTACACAATGATTTCTGAGAATACTTCTCTGATACTTAGATTGAAAACGAGATGGCCTTTAAATAGCCTTACAAGAACTTAAGCAAAACTGAAACAGAGAAGCAAAACAAACATATTCAAACGTGACTTAGTTCCTAATACTTCGCCTTATTGACTCAAACTAATAAATGACTTAGTCTCTGAAGACTTATTCAACTCTAACAGAGGTGTTCTTGAACTTACTTTGCTCCGTGTGAATGATGTGTTTGGTGGTCAAACTTGGTTACTTGTGTCTAAGCTATAAGGTAGGGCAAGGCAGACACATTGTTCTCCTTTTCGATCAAAATGCAGCATTTCATGTGCTTCGATTTTGTCTAAGACTTGTCCTCTCCATTAATTAGCATTGTCTTACGAGCTAGGCTATGATGTAATACTTTCTATTTTTTATTAAAGTCATCAAAATTTTTTGTAAATTAGGAACCAATAACACCCCGTACTCACGTGATAATAGGTAACGGATAATCCAACTAGGAATTGGATTATATAAGCCCAGCCCACGTGACTCCTAAAGTGTCTAGGGTTTAAATATTGTTCTGTATATATATGGAGTTATAACAGAGAGGGCGAGGCGCTAATGATCACGATCTCAAATAAAAAACACAGAACTCGTCGATTGATTCAAAGATGGAAATACCTGAGTGGACTGATTTACCTGAAGAACTCATTGATTTAACTGCAAAACGTTTCTCCTCCAACATCGACGTCGTCCGTATCCGTAGCATCTGTAAACCCTGGCGATCCGCGGTTGCGACCAAACAAAACAGCTTTCATTTTCAACGACGCAACCTTCCTTCCTCCAACAAGAACATAGAGACTCTTCTCTCTCCGACCACTTTCTTCCGTGTTTATGTCCCTTCTTCAGGTTCTTACAAAGGATGGCTGATCAGAACCAAACAAGTCTCAGAATCCAGTAAGATTTGTCTCTTGTCTCCTTTCTCTCGTCAGCTCCTTGACCCTTCACAAGAAACCCTAGACCTTTTGAAATTTGGGTTTTCAGAGATTCGAAAATCTTACGAGATTCATATATTTGATAAATATTTAATTCAAAGCGTGAGAGGTAAAATAGGACCATCACATAAGTTGTCTAGAGTTGTTTTCCTAGACAATCTGTTTTTCGCAGTCGGCGAGGATGAGAAAATCTGGTGCTGCAAGAGTGGAGAAGAAAGTAGTAGAATTTGGACAAAAATCAAAAACCAAGTTGAAGATTTCTCGGACATTATACTTCATAGAGGACAAGTCTATGCCTTAGGCTTAACCGGCGCAATTTGGTGGATTAATTTATCACAGCTCAGACTCGTTAAATTCACACCTCCAACTCCAATGAACTGTGATAGTTGCAACAAGAGACTCGTGGACTTTTGTGGAAATCTATGCATTGTTCATCAACTTCGTGTAAGGAGAGATAATATCGAAAGGACATTTGGTTTTAAGGTTTATAAGATGGACGAGGATGTGGCAAAATGGGTTGAGGTTAGGTCCTTGGAGGACAAGGCACTCATTGTGGCTAGGGACAGTTGTTTTACGGTTGTAGCTTTAGAGTACCATGGATGTTTGAGGAATTCTATCTACTTCATGGATAATGTTAAAAGGAGTGAGGACGAAGCTCGTAAATATTTCAAGCATCATAATGATAGTTCCGAGTCCGAGTACCATGGACTTTTGAAGAATTATGTCTACTTCAATGATAATGATGGAGAATATTGTGATTATAATGGAGTGAATGGTGAAGCTGTTAAGATGTTCAAGCTTGGTGATGGTAGTATCATCGATATGACTGATTTCTCTTCTCATAGTTGTTTTCACATGTTCTTTCCTCCCTTCCTCTAAAAAAGATTAATTATCTTAAATATGAATCTTGTTTTATTTATTGCTTATAGTTGTGTGATCTTGTGAAAGTTTTCAAATCCGAAAAAGCCAAACTAAAGACGAAGAAAAACAAAAATACCAACATTGAATCTCTATACTATTAAAAGAGAAGTACAAATGAAAATAGGTCGGGTTAAAATCAGAAAACTGACCCGAAATTCTGAAATCGGATCTTTGAATTTTTTTTGGAATATAAATTCGAATTAATAATGAAAAATCGAATCAAAAATGAAATATTTATGGAAATCAAATAAAATTTGATTGTACTTATGGCAACTAATTATAAAAGCATATTCCCAACAATATTTTATATTAATTACGTATAATAAATTTGTTCATATATTTTTGGAACTAATTCGATAACAATCAACGTTTTTATCATTAATTTTGCTCATTTTAGCCAATTATCATTAATTGAAAGATATCTTACTTGCTTCTAAAGATTTCTAGAAAATTTATCACACATAAGTAATACCCCATCTGTTTTATAAATTAAATAGATATTTTTATTTTGGTCGTGTACATTAAATAGATATAAAATCCATGTAACTAATTTTAATTTAATTAGATTAAATCGAAATTATGGTATTTTCATACCTATAGCTTACCAAAGAAGTTTAATTTTCAATTTATAAAGATTTATTGAATATGATTTTAGAATTATTCAACAAGATAATTACAATGTTATCTTATTTGCCCGCTTATTTGCGTGTTTAATATATTTTCCCAAATCTACCCTATAGTAAGATGATTTGGGCTCGACCCGCGGTTTTTGACCTATTTTGACTACTCTAATTCCTATGAATCGTCTAATTTTAGAATTTTAAAACACAAAATTCTATTTTGTAAATCATAATTGATACGATGGGTTTATTTATAAAAAATTTAACATTTTCTCTACAATTCGTTATTATGAATATTTATAAGTATACTACACGATTTGCTCTACTAAAAACACACAATATTAAACTCAACGTATGTAAACCAATATTCTCCCGCGGTGGACCGCGGGTCCGATCCTAGTATAGAGAATATAGAGAATACCAAATTTGTAACTGGAACATCATCTATAAGAAACTTGATTAATTAAAAAAAAACTTAAGAAGCGATCGTCTGTTGTGACATAGGACTAGGATGCCGCAGGAATTTGATCTACATTATTAGAAGGGGTTGATACCATGAAATCAAATATAGGAAAATCTACAAAAATATCACACAGGCCATTTAGTTCCAATTGTGTCCCAAGCTTGATTCAAATCCAGTAACGTACTCTAACATCTAGTACGTTAGAGTACGTTACTGGATTTGAATCAAGCTCTAACATCCAGTAACGTACTCTAACATCTGAAGGCGTGAAATATTAAAGGACAAAGCACAATCGTTGCATTGGGAAGCACACCTTTCTCTCTCACTTGGTAAAGTTTTTCCAAATCTAGGGTTTCGTTTTATTGAGCTTCATCTTCGGCGGCGGATTTGCAAAGGAGGATCAGGGGTGAGCAAGCTCTTTTTCCGACAACGGGGTGTGGTTTCTTCCCCTTTCGAGGTAGTTGTGGCTCCGGTTGGGATGGTTGAGAAGCTCTGGAGCTGTGGCTTTCCGGTTGAAGACGCTGGAAGGTTTGCCTGGAAGTCTTCTCGCGGCTCTGCCATCTTCACGGTCGCTGCGGCTACAGCGGAATTCGGAGGGGTTTAGGTGGGAAGCGTTGTTTCGTCTGGTGGTTAGCTGCAGATCTCTGATCTTCGAGGGCTATCGCAGATTCCGGAGTCTAGGTGTACGTCTAAGCCATCGACCCTTGAATCCGCTGTGGTTTCGCATCCACCAGACCGGATTGAAAGTTTTGTGCTCTAGAGGTTTGAAGGTGTTCGGATCTGGAACGGAGGGGTTTGGTCCCAGTGCGACATATTGCTTGGTCAGGATATGTCGACGTAGAGCCGGTGTGTTGGAAAGTCGAGTTTTCTGGGAGGTTTGTAGCAAGAGTGGCGAGTTGACGGTGAGGTGCATCGTCGGAAACTGGTTTCTTCCAACGGGGTTTTCAATCCTTCTTCTCTGCCTCAAAGCCGTGGACCTTGAAACCACCGGATCTAATGCGACTGACTCTCTGCCACCGGTAACCAACAAGATCCGAACTTCCGTTTTAGTTCCGGCGACATTTTTCCGATTTCCTTTTTGTACCTGGTTTCAAGTTTGTAAAGCCCAAGGCCCAGCCTATTAGGGTTTTTAAAAATAAATATTATATTAAAAAAAAAAAAAAAAAAAAAAAAAAAAAAAAAAAAAAACATCTAGAGCAGGCAAAAAAAAAGAGAACGCAATTAGTCTTAAACATAACATTCAAGCTTCAACTAGATCAACAAGTTAGTAAATGTTACATTCAAAGAAACATTTTTAGTACCTTGACCTCTTTTCCCAAAAAAATCTTAACAAAAGTTACTAAATTCAGGTCTTCTCTCATAACATAAACTCCAAAATGCTGAACATAACACGGAGCTTGATACTCTTATTGCAGCTCCATCTCATGCTTCTAAGATCTGGAGAAAGAGAAGAAACATAACCATTAAAAGTTAAAACTGTCAAACCAAATCAAAGATTTTTATTCATCAGAACAGGAAACAAGGAAATGTACAACAAACAACACTCAATGCCTTCATTGAGTCAAAACAAACAAACAAACAATTCAACCAGTAAATAAAAAGTGGTAGTAGTTACCACAACTTAGAGACCGAGTATATCGGTCTTTCGACAAGTAGATGTGTTCAGCCGTAAAGTCAAGGTTCTGAACCAAGAAAACCCATTTGATCAACCATGTCATGTAGATCTTGACTGTCCCAATCCAAAGGTGAACCAACCAAATCTTCCACTTTCACATCCAACTCTGCTTCCAGATTACCATCTCCCATCATCACATTCATAGCCTCACAACACTGTTCCTCCTTCATAGGCATCAAATTACTCGACTCATTGTCGATAGCTGCAGCGAGTAATATCTCCATATCATCTTTCATTCTTTCAAACTCTTGATCATGCAACAAATTCTCCTCCATAGTCCCCAAGCTTGGAGTAGAAGTAAGCCTCCGTTTCCTCCCAACATCCAAACCAAACAGACTCTTCTTCTCTTTACTCATCAAAGCAAACTGCTGTACAAAGTTCGGATTGTTCAACGCCTTAGCGAGAAACGTCATCATCTGCTGCTGTCTCTTCTCAGTAACAAGCAACCGTTGCTCCATCGCTGCAACTTGACTCTTGGAACTATGTTGCTGCTGTCTCAGCCTAACTACCTCAGCTACAAGCACACTATGATCCCTCTTCAACCTCTCTACCTCCTTGTCAAACCCGTATTGCCCGACTTCAACACATGACATCCCTGACCCAGAGCCAGATCCAGATCCTTGCTGATTCACATTCTGCAATCCCATGTTCCTCCTTCTTTTAATGTTCTTCAAGAGATGCTTTTGTCCAGCTAAAAACCCTTCATTCGCAAATTCCCATCTATCTGGATCAATCTTTCTGAATCCCTACAATCAACAAAAGAAAGTTTCATCAGCTACTTAACTTTGAAGCAGAGTCCTTATTAGTCATTTCAAGATTCTATTTTTACTTTCAAAAACAGAGGCTTGAACAGATCTTTGTTAAATGAATCTCTTAAACATATGACCAAAATCTCAATTCATTCATATGAATTTGAAGAAACCCATTTTGTATTTAGCCATTTAAAAGCTTAAAGAACTAACCTTTATATAGCTGAAGACTCATAGTAAAACCCATCTAAAGAAATCCAAAATTAAGATTAGAAACAAAAACATAAACAAGGTTAGGTAGATTACAAGGTAGCAAAAGGGTACTTACATAAGTATTAAGCTGACGAATAAAACTCGAGAAATTGCTATGCTTGAAGTAACGAGGAAGGAGAGTTGTTGAGAACTTATGAGAATCCCACACCACAAAGCTGTTACGACCATTACTCCAAGAAACTACAGTGTCAGTCGCCGGATCCTCCACCATTTCGTAAGTCTTCGTCAGAAAAGGCGGTGGTCCTGTTTCGTTCAGACCCTCCATTGGTCTCGGAGACGATGATGATCCTACAGACGAAGAAGCAGCCACTGAACCAGTAAACGTCACCGTTTCTTCCTCCATTTCCACTTTCAGTTCCTCCATTTTTCGTTATTTATCTCAAACCCATAAACTAAATTGTATAAATTTAGTAACTTTAGAGAAACCAAAGCAGATTAGATAGATTTTGTTGCCAAAATTAGAAACTGCGTTTTGGGTAAAGTTTGTGACTTTCTTCTGAAAATGTTGATTTGAGAGCTTGAAGCGTGGAGGAGAGAGAAATGAGATTATAAGGGGAGAGAAAAGAAGGTTCTAGAGACAGGACAATAAGATCTTCACTGTATTAAAGCTTCTTTGACATTTGTGTGAGCAAGTGGCGACAAGACAAGACCAGGTTCCAGAAACTTCGTTACCAATCTAGAATCTCTTTTTTTATTATATGGGCCTTTAGTTAAGCCCATTTCTGACAGGCTGTCACAACTCACAAGGCTTAATAATATACCAATTCGAGGAAATTGCTAATTTTGTCTTTCGTTTTTTCTGGGAACAAATAGACAAAATACATGAATTAATGAACTTACAAGTTAATGTGCCATTTCTTACGTTTTCTAAAATTCTTGCGAGCACATCTTTTAATTAAATGACACATTATCCACAGTTTTAGAGAAATTATGTCGTGACTGTATTGTTTGATTTCAGACATTTTGTTGAGTAAATTGGGCCTTTTTGGGTTTAATCTGGAAAATGTATGCTCGACAGTTGGACCAAGATTCAGCTTTGTTTACAAAAAAAATAATAATTTTACAATAATTGGTTTATCTTACATTAGGTTCATGTGTAAAATTTAACACTAACAATTGAGAACAATAATGTATAATCTATAGGGTATTTACACACGGTATCAATGGAAAACTTAATAATTAACTGACACTATACTGTCCTATTCGGCAATCTACAGTCATCGATATTTAGACCATTAAACCCCTATAATTCTAGTGTCGTGTAAGAGAGAGAAAATAGGGTCAGAGATGTGTGTGTCAGTGTTTTGATATGCGATATCTCTGTAGATATCAATTTAAAGATTTTATGGAAACCAACAGAGAAAATAAATATGGAAATCAGAAGAGTCGCATTCTTTCGTCGAGTCGCATTATTTGGGTCTTTGAATTATAAAACCAAGGCGCATTCTTTCTCGAGTTCATTTACTTCTTCTTTTTAACTCCAGTCTGATATCATCATTTTATTTCCTACTCAAAGGCGGTGAATAACGGCGGCGGTGGTTTCCAATTTCTGTTTCGTTTGGCTTTACATCTCATCGTAAGTTTCCCGCCGGTGAAGGTCGTTCCTATTTCTTTTTTTCTGATTTGTTTGTTTATCTCTTCGGTTTTGGTGTTGATGTCTCTATATTTTACCGCTTTTAAGCACACTTTTCTCGTGCATTTAGCTAAGTTTCATCTCTATTTCATTGCATCCATAGTCCTTTTCATATCATTTTCATCACTTAGTACGATTTGCATTGCATGGCATAGCATATTGCATATTGGATGTGTTTCAGGTATTTGGAGCTTATTTGGGACTTAATGGATGCAAAGAAGAGAATTGATGATTCAGAGCCAGTCTGAAGTCCCTCAAATATCGACTCAGATGGAAGTCTTGCATTGCGATTTAGCTTCAGAGCTCTTCATACAAGTTATAGGAAATTGAGTTACCTTTCCAACGGAGGTGATTTCAAGCGAATCAGAGCTTTGATGCAAGAGTTATGGTGGTTTTAATGGAGACATATGTAGAAAACTGGTTGGACTCGACAGGAGGTCGAGCAGGCGCTCAGAAACCACCAAGGGTTGGACTCGACCACACCAACTCGACGTGAGGTCGAGTAGGACACCATCATGGAGCACCCTTTGAAGAATCACTCCCCCTCGACCACATGGACTCGACGACACAGGCTCGACGTCACGTCGAGTTGGTCTCCGCCGACTCTCTATTTTGTCTTGTAGCTAATTAGGGCAACCTAGTATTTCCTATAAATAGGGGTACACCCTTTTATCCAGCGGATATTCTTTTTACCCAGCAGATATTCCTTTGTTCTCTCATAAACCCTAGTTTTTGTAATCGTTTTTCCTGTTGATCCTTTGAGTTTTTGCATTTCTTTTCTTCATCAAAGTTGTAGATCTGTCTCTTATCTATAACATACTTGCTTTTCAATGATTTCTGGGTTTGAAACGTTTTCTGGGTTTTTATGCATGATGTTCTTCAGTGTTCTTGAGTAGTGGATTAGGGTTCTTGAGGATGGGATAGATTAGGTGTGGAATCCTTAGTATATTTAGGTGGTTAAGTGTAGAATTGCTTGATTTCCCTTCTGGTTTAGTAGATCTTAATGCTATTTCCTCTCTGATCAATTGGAAGTTGATCTCAGACATTTCCACACCCAAAAGGTGTTTGATGAAATGTCTGAACCAACTATTCCAGAGATTTGCATACTCTAGCCCAAGATATTGGATGTTTAGAATGCTTATTGACTTTATTAGATTAAATCATAATGCCTGCTAGGTTATATTTCTTCAATGAGAATTGAGTATGAAAGTGATTTAGCTTGAGAATCTCTGTCACGAGAGTGGATTGATTTGTATTCGAATCTATTGTCTAGGGATAGCTTGATTGAGTTTGTTAACCACCTAGGTAGACTAAGGAGACTGCCATAATCGATTACCCCATTCCTCAGGACCTTTTATCTCTATTGATTGTTTAAATCTTGTTTCTGTTAGTATTTGTGTTCTACTCGACCTGTTAGGCCTAGAGCGCTTCTCTGCATTGTTAGGTTGTTAGTTTCTTTTCAAAAGCTTTTGCATGATAGTTTCTGGTCTTTAGTTTACTTCTTGTCCTTGTTTACTTGCTGTTTAGTTCTCTTTTTATGCTTTTAAATTCGGTATTTGCATGTTAAATTGGTTGCTTAGGATCAATAGAAACACACAAAACCGTTTCATAATTGGCTTGACTTATTCACTTTCTGTTTCATATCTTGAATGATTGCAGTCACACTGAGATTGGATTGATAAACCTAATATACTACAATGGCATGTGTATTAGGGATTGATACTTGTTAGAAATTGAAAATCTTACTATCAATTTGGCGCCGTTGCCAGTCTTGTGTTGCATTGTTCCATTTAAGATTTCAGAAACGTTTAAGATCAAGTTCTTTCTTTACTTTGGCTACTAACTATTCATTTCATCTGCTTGTTTTTATGCTCCAGGTACCATCTCGACCTCACGTCGAGACTGCCACATCGAGTCTGACCACTCTGCATGCAAACTCGATCTAAAGGCTCCAACAACCTCATCAGCTATAAAAACAACATCAACCAGTTAGCTCGTGAGTTAAGAGAAGGTAGTGCCCGAGACAACTGTGAACCGCATAATCCAGTAGCCATGGAACCACAAGATCAAGATAATCAAGGAGTTGGTATACCACGGAACATTGGTGATGGTGATGCACCACACAACCATCAACAGAGACAGGGCATCGTTCCACCTCCTGTCCAGAACAACAATTTCGAGATCAAGAGTGGATTGATCTCAATGATTCAAGGTAACAAGTTTCATGGGTTGCCTCTGGAAGACCCCTTGGATCACTTGGATAATTTTGATAGGCTCTGCAGCCTCACCAAGATCAATGGTGTTAGTGAAGACAGCTTCAACCTGCGTCTGTTTCCCTTCTCGCTGGGAGACAAAGCACACCACTGGGAGAAGACACTACCTGCTGGCTCCATCACATCTTGGGACGATTGCAAGAAGGCCTTCTTAACAAAGTTCTTCTCCAATTCAAGAACTGCACGTCTACGAAATGAAATCTCCAGTTTTACACAAAAGCAGTCTGAATCCATTTGTGAGGCCTGGGAGAGATTCAAAGGCTACACTATACAGTGTCCACACCATGGTTTCAAGAAGGCTTCACTACTCAGCACACTCTACAGGGGAGTTTTGCCCAAGATCAGAATGTTGCTAGACACTGCCTCTAATGGGAATTTCTTAAATAAGGATGTTGAGGAAGGCTGGGAATTGATAGAGAACTTAGCTCTATCTGATGGTAACTATAAAGAGGATTTTGATCGCTCCAACAGAGGTATTGGAGATCCGGATGCAAAGCATACTAAGGAGATGATTCATGCTCTCAACGAAAAGCTGGATAAATTACTGCTTACTCAACAGAAGCCAGTCCACTATATCACTGAAGAAGAGCACTATCAAATCCAAGAGGGGGAGAACAATCAGGCTGCAGAAGTCAACTACATTCAGAACCAAGGTGGCTACAACCTCTACAAGCCTGCTCATCCTAATCTATCTTACCGGAGCACGAATGTTGCAAACCCTCAAGATCAGGTTTACCCTCAGCAACAACAGAACCAGTCCAAGCCATTCATACCATACAATCAAGGCTTTGTCCCAAAGCAGCAGTTTAGTGGCGGTTATCAACAATATAATCCACCACCCGGTTTTGCACAGCAACCCCAGCCAGCTCCACCTGCACAAGATCAAGACATGAAGCAAATGCTTCAACAGCTTCTACACGGCCAAGTAGCTGGTGATAAGAAGATGGCTGAGATTCAAAACAAAGTCGACTGCTCCTACAATGATCTACATGTCAAGATTGAGGCTCTAAACTCTAAGATTAAGTACATGGAGAGCCAATTTGCCTCTACTTCTGCGCCTCAGAATCTAGGGCAACTGCTAGGGAAAGCTATTCAGCATCAAAAAGGTCATGTTAATGCTATTCACCTTCGCAGTGGTCGAGAGCTGCAAACTCGACCTAGCATAGCTCCTGTCACTGAGGACAGTGAGATTCAAGAGGGGGAGGATTTCATTCAGCATGAAACTCAAGTCGATGATACCACTAAGCTCGACCAAGATGATGTACCTCGTGATCAAGTCCAGAGCCCCCAGATCAAAGAACCAATTGTTGATAAGAGTAAGAAGAAAGCTTTCATCCCACCACCCTACAAACCTAAAATACCATTCCCAGGAAGATTCAAGAGGGATATAATTGAGAAGTACATAGCAATGTTTGCTAGGCACATCAAAGAGTTAGAAGCCAGGATGCCTCTCATTGATGCTTATAAGCTGATTCCGGATTCTCACAAGTACTTGAAGGACATGATAATGGAGAGAATTAAGGAAGTGCAAGGGATGGAGAGTCGTGAGTGCAGTGAAATCATCCAAACGAAGATTATTCCCAAGAAATTGGGAGATCCTGGTTCGTTTACTCTACCTTGCTCTCTAGGCACTTTAGCCTTCAGTAACTGCCTCTGCGATCTAGGTGCTTTTAAAAGTCTCATACCTCTCTCCGTGGCCAAGAGACTGGGTTTCAGCAAGTATAAACCTTGCAAC